AAAAGAAAAGAAAAGAAAGAAAGATAGATAGGATTTGCTCAGAAGTAGAAAACCTAGACCTAACATGGGCGAACATGGCATGCAGTGGATTGCCTCAGCTGAAAGAACAGTTTTCATTTGGTCTATGGTGTCTAATGCTACAGTCCCTTCCTATTCACATGAGAACACTTAGATCAGAACAGCATCTGGTTTTTTTTTAATTTTCCTTTTTGGATTGGGATTGGCTGCCGCATGGAGTCACTCCAGGTCACCCAGATGGAAAGTGTAGCTCAGCCTAGCTTAGCACCCTGTCTCTTGCCAGCCTCTCCGTGCTTGGGCCTAGGCATTCATCTACAGTCCTCATGGCCTGGAACTCAACAACTGGGTGTAGCGGCCTTGCCAGCACCCTTCGCTGGGACCTCAACTCACCCCTGCCCAACCTCAGCCTCAGCCTTGCTCGCTATAGAAAACAGCTATTTTGCAGCCCTCCGCCTCATTTTGACTTAGCTTCTCACCTTCCCATACAGTCTCAAGTTCCCCACTCTCTGAACAGGGGCTTGCACTGATCACCTAGGTGGGGTGTGGGGGTACTTGCCCTTCCTCTCAGATGTTCTGTCTTTCTGATGGATGCCAATTCCTTCCCACCTCCCCCAAGCAATTCTCCACTACTCTTCCCCAAGCTAGTAAGCTCTATCAGGAAATGGATATCCTAGCAATCATTCTCCCTTATCAACTGATTAATGGAAATCAATACCATGATCCCAGGCAAGTCCTGAAATACAGCCTGAAGTTTGGGAGAAATAGTGTAGCTTGTGCTGAGGCAGCAATTACCTCTGCCTCCGAGTTTCTGTTCCCACTCACACGCATTGTGCCTTTCATTTTAGCCGTTTGTCCTGCACATGGAAAGGTCCAGATCCCACAATGGCTCTTTATTGGAGGAGAGTTCTGGGAAAGGTGCCACGCGGCTGCGGGTGCCAGGCCCCGAACCTGCCTCTCCTTCAGTGGAGGGCTGGCACACAGGCTGGTTTTCGTGCAGGCGGGCTGTTACCTCAGAAGAGCAGGCTCAAGAGGTGGGACTCTCTCCCCACTTCCAGCAGGATATAATATCTGGACAGGAAGTTAAATTACTGGAGTTGTAGAGTCAACACAAGTAACCACTCTGATCTCAGGAGACAAAAATAATCCCCTCAGGTCACCCCAGCCTCTTCCCGTGGGCATGTTCTGTCCTTTGACGGGGTGTTTTTAAAGGAGAAATGTTATTTTTAATGAGCAAGATTTTTACCATCCAAATATTGGATTCCTAGACCCAAGCTTTTTAAACCCCAGAGGAAAAAAGTTTCAGCCCTCACAAGAGAGCCTTTTTATAAAAGACTGGCACCACGCTTTCTGCTCAGGGCTGGGCCTTCCAGGGACTTCTCTTCAAGATGGTCGAGCACACCCCTTGACCCTTGCTCCCTGGTCTCCACCTCCGGATCTTCTGAGAGCATCTTTGCACCTGAAGGGCTGAGATGGCTGCAGATATAGCGGGTGCTCTGTACCCACAGAGCTTACACTTGTGCTTTCCTTGGGCGATCAGCGTGGTGGCTCGTCATTGTCCCAGGGCCATGTTGCTGGCTCCAGAGCAGTAACAGAATAGAAAGCATCTCAGCCAGTGCATAGGAAGTCCCTTTTCTCGCTACTAAAGGGAGCTGTGCTTTGAAAAGCAGCTCTGCTGCTGAACACAGCTTCTGGGTGTCTCCCCTGTTCCTGGAAAACAGAATGCCAAAGGACAGGACTGAATGGCCATGGTGTGGGGCGGGGGCCACGGTCAAGCAGCAGGCAGTGGGTAAGAATGGCCATCGTCCAGTCTGTTCTCCCTGCTGCAGGTATTGCTTTCGCTACACATCTACTGATCCGTTGCTCTCAACTGGGACGACTCCTCACCTGTCATAAGCCCAATTACAAAGTGACCCCGAGGCCAGGAATCTCTAACAGAAGCCGAGCTGGAAACCATTCAGTGGGCCTGAAGTGGAGATGCTTTTCTGATCCGTGGGAAGCCAGAGCTCAGGGTCTGTGTCCCAAGGACTCTTGGGAGTAGTGGAGAGTCCCTGTGGCTGGGCACGGTGAGGGCTATTTACCTTGGCCCTGAATGTCTTTCTGGACATCCTGAAGGGGGCTTTCAAATGCCAGCTTTTCCACGGGAAGCTTCTTCATGGCTCTTTGTGAGCTGGAGATGTTAGTTATGATATCTGTCTCATTTAAGAATAATTTATGACTGTCCTTGCAAAAGCCTAGAATTATCCATAGAACAAACACAGTTTTTCCACTCCTCACCAAAGCACAGAGACATTCCTGGTAAATCTAAGGATGCCTTAGTAAAATCAATGCCAGCTTCAAGGCATTCTGGGAATTGCTAGCTGCAGAGGGTTCAAGAAGAGGGCAAATGCGAACACGTGAACAGGGCAAAACTGGGGGGGAGAAGCAGTGAGAGAGCATTGGGGCTCTGGGGTCACAGAAGGGGACTGAGAAGGAGGTGCCGGCCTTTGACAGGGTTAGGGTTAGAGGTCAAGTTAGCCTTCTGGCTTAGGTTTATGGTTAAGGTTAAAGTTAGGGATTGAGATCAGAGTTGAGGATTAAGACTAGAGTGTAGGATTAGGAGTTAAAGTCAGGGGTAGGGGTTGATTGGGATTCTTTCTACATTATGTGACTTCAGTTTTTCTTGGTAATTCTGATACTTTTCTTGGTTCAAATCCCACCCAGTCCACATGAGCTTTCATTCTCTAGACTATTCTAGTTCCTGGTACATGCAAACTAGTGCATTTGGTTGACTGATTTCATTCATTTTATCAATAATTTATCATTTATTAAGTTTCTTATAGGAACACTGTATCAACTATACAAAAAATGTCATTTTTTTTGCTTGATGTATGTGTGTTCTAATTTCCATATAGGCTATTATAGATATATATTTTTTTTCACTTCGTAGAATTTTCCTAAGAACTGCCAGACCGCCAGGTATTATTGGCTTAATGAATGCCTTTTTTGCTTGCCATGACCAGTGTGGTCTGGAAGTTAACTGTGCTGCTTCTGACAAGATGGAAACATCCTTTTCATATACTGTAGATCTATATGACATCAAGTTATCACCAGGAGGAGGAGTATCCAACTTTGGGGGTTGTTGTAAGATAAAGAGGAAATTGTGTGTGAAGTGTCTAATTGAGTTCCTGGTGCAGAGTTCCTGGTGCCAGTAGGCCCTTGGTCAGTGGTGCCGTCAGCCTTGCTTGTGGGAATCTCTGGTTTCAGTTGAGTCAGTGAGCACCTTTTCAACATAATTAAGTGAAATCATTCTTCTCTCTGCAAAAGGGAACTTTATTTTGGAAAAACAGATCTGCTCTGGGCTCAGCTCCTATGTGTCTCATTACATTCCTGGAAAACAGAATCCCGGAGGACTCTGAGTGGCTGTGGTGTTGGGCTGGGGGCCTCCATATTAAAAAAGCTACAAAGCTTAAAGAGATATTTGAGACTAACGGGTATTAAGAACAATAGAACCTGTGATTACACTTTGGATGCTTTGTCACATTATTTATTATAGCTTAAAATTTTCACAGGGGTGGCTTACTGAAAAGTCAAGGCAGGTCAAGAATTGTATTTGAAAGTTAATATTGGTGGACCCCAATAAAGAGTGTGGTGAGCCGCTACTGCATCATGGTGGACTTTTCTCATGCATCCATCCCCACCATATATGAGTCTCATAAACTCCCACAATTTAGTCCCATTTCTAAGACAAATATGATTGTTTTTTAGGGAATATTCACACGTCAAAGCTTACTATGTATAAATGTACAACCTTTCATAAATGTTTGACTTGGTCTCAAATCCAATTTAAAAATAATAATTTCTACTGCTTTTCTGGATGCCTTTATGGCCACCCTTGTCATTCTGAAAAGTCTCACAACTTCGCTCAAGTGTTTTTATTCAACTGACTCCCTGGAGGGCCTGTCAGCCCCCTGATCTTAGATCCTCTGTCCTCTGCTTAATGTTCAAGAAGCATTTATTTCATAATTAATTTTATCAGCTTCTCATCACAAAGAATATTTCTTCTCTCAGGAGGTGAATTCACTGTACTCTCTCCATTAAT